CAACCTTAACTGATCGTGGCCATTGGCGGGTGCTCTGGTGTTGTTTGCTGTTCTTTCCAACCTCTAATCTTAGTGCTTGTTTTAGTAAGTTTTTTTATGGCACTCGCAACTGCATAAGGTCATATGAGCGCCAAGGGGTGGATGTCAGTCAACAGAGAAGTTTAAACGGGAAATCAGGCTTACTCTGCTCACCTCTCTTGCCTCAACAGCACAAAAATCTGCTTCGACTATCAGGCACCGCGGAAATAACAATTCACAAGAGAGTGACAAACATACAAAAGAAGTAGAGGAAAATGACGATAGTAAGGATGAGAAAAGAAAAAGCAGCAGTTCCCCACTATGTTGGTCCGGCACAGTATGAGCATGACATTGATAAATCAGCCCTTTATGATTCTACTGTGCATAACATGTTAATATCCCCTTTTTGGGAGTGGCCCAAAGACAACTTCAGTCAGTAGCATTGCCCTGGTGGGAGGACTGTAATCTTCAGCATTTGTCTGACCTATTTGTTAGTCATAATTCTTCTTTTTCTTTCCCCTCTAGTCTTTGTCCGTTCACTGCAGGATATAGCCATCTCTATGATCCCTACTCTGTTCTGTCTGCTGTTCTCGTTATCCACGTTTTCCCCGTACACTCTTTAATATCATCTTGCAACTTTTTCCTGGTCTTCCTCTTGATCTTCTCAATGCATCTTTTTGTCCAACGGTTATCTTTCATTCTAACTATGTGACCAGTTCATTTCCATTTTAGTTGGGTATAGATTTGGAGACGTCTGTGTGTCCTATTTTCTTTCGTTTTCTTGCCCGCCGTATTTGATCTTGTACTCTTGTACCCAGCATCGTCCTTTCCAAGTGGCTGGTTGGTTGCTGCTCTGTTGTGATTTTCTACTTCTTTCCCATCAAACATCTATCGCCTTTATCTCTCCTCCTTTTATTTGCATCTAGTAACACTTGCTCTAATCTTGGGCTCATGTGACCTAATTGTGTTGCAAGTGCCGTAAATCTCTTACACTTACATAAACTTAACTCCCCTTGCACAAATCTCTGTGTTGACCTTAATTTTTGTATGTAAATTTTAGTTTGTAACCATGTTAGTAAACCTCTTACTGAAACCAAAACTAAAACTTGAGTGATTTCCCTCTCGCAGGTCGCTGTGCCAGAACGTGAGGGCCTCGTGCGAGAGTCGGATGACTATACATGGCTTTGAGTGGCCAGCCATGCTGGAGTGTGAGAAGTTCCCACTCGACAACGACATGTGTATAATGCCCATACACGACATCAAACGTAAGTACCACAGGCGAAAAAAAGAGAAAAAACAAAACAAAGGTGAGATGGAGGGGGGGGGGGAGGAGGGGTATGAGACGACATGCAGCTTTAAGTGTTCGATCAAAAGCGTTACTGGAGAATCCTTTTCGTGACAAAAGAGTTTATTTGGGTGGTTTTATAATGAGTGGTTAGGTGTAGGGTTCGTTGGGTTTAATTCTGGAAGGAGTGGGTTGGGTTGGTGATGGAGTGGATTAGTTTGGGGTGGCTTAGGTTTGGTTAGTAGTTAGGATGGGTGGGTTTGGGGTGGGGTGGATACAGTTTGGGGAAGGGAAGGGGGTGGGGTAGGGAATGGAATAGAGAACCTAAAATACTCCCCAAATATTCGATTTCCTTCTTCTTCTTCTTCTTCTTCTTCTTCTTCTTCTTCTTCTTCTTCTTCTTCT